ATTTCTTAACTACTAAATACTATGTAAAAAAGTTTCTATCGCTTATCGAATATAATATATAATTGGTCACATGCTAAAGTAATATAAAGTATGTCGCTTTTCTGAATGTCTCTTAATAAGGTTATAATAAATTATTTACACTTAGATATATTGAAGACAATAAATTTAGATATTCGATAAATGTTTGTAGAACATATTGAGATAAGTAAAGAACAAATGTAATTGCATGTGTGGTGAAGATCAGTATAGTATTGTCGTCCAGTGTCAACTATGTTTTTATCTGTATTGTCAATTGGAACCACCTGCTAACACATGTAGCTATAGGCATTGGACAGCTATTTAAAGGTTCACCAAAACTCATTAGTCAATATTTTTATTTGACATCAAACGATATCTACCATGGTAAATAAACGGAAATTCTATGATGCCACTGCACGGCTGTATGACTCCAGAAAAAAAATAACGAAAATACTTTTGAACTTAATATACAGTTCTTTTTTTTTTATTTTAGACTCCTGTTTTTGCAAGATAATTGTCAACTAAAAGGCAATGTAATAATCATGTAACGTTGACAACATTTGACACCGCCCTCTCGCAAAGACAACGTTGTTGATAATTGATTTTCCATTAAATCATCTAACGAGTGTTTATGACAAAATTTATAATTCATAATCAACAGTTTGTTGATGTTGAGAGTAAACTTACAACTCATGTTATTCTAAATTAATCGCATTCTGTCTGAAAAGGAGGGGCGAAAGATACCAAAGGGACATTCAAACTCATAAGTCGAAAATAAACTGACATGCAACGCCATGTCTGAAAAAGAAAAAAGACAAACAGACACACAGTAGTACACAAAACACAACATAGAAAACTAAAGACAAAGCAACCGGTATATATAGTGTCTATCCGTCTAGTCCGGAACTAAATATACTTGTTACATTAAGGAATCGTAGAGGGAAGACAATTAAATCCCATGTAAAGTACTCACTTAATATTTCACATTTCCTTTAACAGTTTTGATCACATAACATAATACAAAATAGAAACACCAAGCTTTATGGATACATATTACTGACAATTTTATTTACTCGTTACCAACATGGAACAAAATGCATAAATATCAAGCTTGTTTTGTGCCTGTCCCAGGAGCCTGTAGTTCAGTGGTAGTCGTTGGTTCATGTCTGTCATATAAGTTTTTCGTAAATTATTTTGTTATTAATTAGTTTTCTCGTTTGCATTGTTTCCAATTTTTCATGTTGGGGCCTTTTTTAACCGATTATACGGTATGGGGTTTCTCATTATTGTAGGCCGTATGTTTGCCGATAATTTATTACATCCACTTCGTTTTAACTCTGGTGGATAGTTGTCTCATTGACAATCATACCACATCTCCTTATTTTCAAATTTACGGATACATATGACTCATATTTTTGTTTACTGGTTCACAAGACGCACAAAACATTTACATCAAGCTTTAAGGATACCAAAATTCCACATGTTTTTTTTTTAACAGATTTAATATATAACTGTGTTGATTTAATACATTTTGGGGCCCCTCGTTTTAGCTGTTAAAAAATGCAACTAAATAGTTATAACAAGCAGATTGTTTGGTAGAAAGTAGATGAACACAGAGGACAATTTCCAATGTACATTTATTTATGATTAATTCCAATTATTTGTATTATCACATGACTAATTGCCACAACAGCAATTTGAACAACAATTGTTAAGTTTACAGTTTATCTTGCTGCGGGCTTTTACAATTTGAAGATTATCTGCAAATCTAATTCTATTAAAATTGCATGATCAAAATTCCTATTATATTTATCATATACTTAACAACAGAAATAATGCACCACATCTAATTATACACGTTAGTTTCAGAATATCTTGTTTTTGCCACAAATTTGTTGAAATCAATAATATTTTAAGTATAACCTTGGAATTAATGCAGAATTTAAAGAGACATTTTCATTCTAGTGGCGACAATGGAGATTTGATAAACAGAAATTACATGCAATCGAAATTTTAACTCCAAAGAAATTAATAGAGATGGTGCGTTTCTTTTGTGTATCAAGTATAGTTCAGTTGATGATACATTGACAGTATACAAGTATAAATAAAAAATATTCTTTATGAAATAAGTTTTCACAATAGCAAAATTATATGAAAAAAAAACCTAAATGATAATTGTAGTAATAGTAATGGTAAATATAGAATTTAAATGTTTCATTTTGTAGCTATATTTCAAGACCATTAGCTTAACGTGTAACACTGTATTAAGATCAGTATTTTATTCCTGTCCAATATCAATTACGTTATCGTTTGCATTATACATTGCAATAAGGATATCACCTGTTTATAGCTATTGGCATTGAACGGTAACTATCAAAAGTAATTAAATTATACTTTATTTGACATTAAACGAAGATCACCATGGTAATGAATTAAATTTTAATAATGCCCACTCTACAACAATTGAACGAAAATACTTTCAAATACAATAATTATGCAGTCGTTTTTTATTTGTTTGTCATTTTTTTGTTGTATGGTGATAGAAACTTTACCATAAACATTGTTTAAGTTAATTGTATTCTGTCGCAAATTGAGGAGGTACTTCCCTTTGTTTTACAGTGCAATCTTTGGTTATAAAACGGAAATTATAAGTTTTTTCTTTTTTTAAAAGCTAAGCCTAAATAGATAAAGCAATGAATTAAAACTCTAATAAATGTTTTTGTTATTTGAACATTCTCGGTCCTACATTCTGTCGAAACCTATATTTAGGCATTGCACAAGATCATATTTTTCTCTAACTGTTAATGATGTTTTACACTAAATTCATTGCAAGTTGGGTGTGTACTGATAGATATTTAAGTCTTACGTGATATTTTTATTACTAATAGTTGTTTTTGGTTTTGAACTAGTTTTCAGTAACTGCGAGTACTCTCAGATCTGTACTTTGTGCCTTTAGTGTTTTATGCCCCACCTAGTGGCATTATGTTTTTCGGTCTTTGCGTCCATTCGTCCGTTCGTCCGTCCGTCCCGCTTCAGGTTAAAGTTTTTTGGTCGCTTCAGGATAAAGTTTTTGGTCAAGGTAGTTTTTGATGAAGTTGAAGTCCAATCAACTTGAAACTTAGTACACTTGTTCCCTATGATATGATCTTTCTAATTTGTATGCCAAATTAGAGTTTTGACACCAATTTCAGGGTCCACTGAACATAGAAAATGATAGTGCGAGTGGAGCATCCGTGTACTATGGACACATTCTTGTTGTTATATGTTTTTGTGCTTTTCAACTGATTTCTATAGTTTGTTCTTATGTTGTGCTGTTTGGGGGATGGTTGGGCCCCCGCAAATATGTTTAACCCTGTCACATTCTGTATGTGCTTGTCCCAAGTCATGAGCCTGTAATTAAGTGGTTGTCGTTTGTTGCTATTGAACATATATTTGTTTTTTGTTAATTGTGTTGTACAGTTTGTTCTAGTGTTCTATTGCACCACTGTCCCAGTTTAGGGGAGGGTAGGGCGTCCGCTAACATCTATAACCCGCCAAACTTTGTATGTGCCTGTCCGAAGTCAAGACCTGTAATTAAGTGGTTGTTTTTCGTTTATTGCTTTGCACATAAATCAGGCCGTTTTTCTCATTTGAATTTGTTTACGAGGCCTTTTATAGCTTGCTATGCGGTTAGGGTTTTGCTCATTGCTAAAAGCCGAACGGTGACCTATAGATGCTAACTTGTACGCCATTTATTGTTATTATTTGTATTATAGTAAAACATGTTGTATGCTTTCTAATAACGTAGCACAGACCGTATGACAATTACATAACCTGAAAATAATTACACGTGTTTTATAAAAAAAGGAATCGGAATACAATACTTGAGGATAAATATTACTCACAGTTTTGTTTACCGATTCAGACGGATAAAACATGAATAGCAAGCTTAAGAATATATATTACTCCTATAGACAGTCATAGTATAGATACAATGAAAATAAGGAGATGAGGTGTGAATGCCGATGAGACAACTATCCACCAAAGTTCAAGTGAAGAGTATGTAAGCAATTATAGGCAATCGCACGGCCTTCAACAATGAAAAAAACCTATACCGTATAGTCGGCTATAAAAGGCCCCGACATAAAAAATATGACAATTCAATCGAGAAAACTAACGGCCATATTTATAAAAAAAAAAATTTACGAAAAACAAATATGACCGACATGAACCTACGACAACCACTGAACTACAGGCTCCTGACTTGGGACAGGCACATAAAAATGTGACGCGCTCAACCCTCCCTTTAACCTGGGACAGTGGTGAAAAAGCACAACATTAGAACAAACTATAAAAATCAGCTGAAAAAGGCTAAACTCATCAGATCGATACAAAGCAGAACAATCAAACAAAAACACAGACCGGACGTGGCAGGGTATTTATCAATCCCTCACCCCTAACAACAAAAAGGGGACTAAGTACAGATCTGAGAGTACTCGAAGTTACTGACAGCTAGTTCTAAGCCGATGACAACTAATAACAAAAAATCATGTATCTAAGACTAAGATATCAATCAGTACACATCCAACATCCAATGGATTTAGTGTAAAGACGTCATTAACAGTCCGAGAAAAACACGACCTTGTGCAATGCCAAAATAAAGGTATCGACAGATTGTAGTACCGTTAAAGTGCATATGTGTATAACAAAACTATTTAGTATGATTTTAATTTAGTATAGTTTCTTTTATATGATATTTATATGGTAATTAATTTGATAGCTTAAAATCCTAAACAAGAGTGAGCGACCTTTCAGATAAAGGAATAGTAAATGGACAAATTGCACGATTTTGTAAAATTGGACAGGCTGAACTATAACAAAATATCGAAAATTTGCTTAAATATTATTGAATCGCAATCCTCTAAATAAGTCACTATTTGTAAAAAAATAATCAACTTAAAATCTCTTGAAAGTGTTGTTTTCATTTTTTTTAAAACTTTCAGATATATGGATTATTTCATCGATATTCAAGCATATGGACGACGTCAAGAAATCGCACGAACTTCAGAAGGATTTTATACTGTGTACAATATATTTAGTGTGAATTAGTTTAGAAAGTGGTAGTGCGTAATCCCCTGATTTTTTAATCACTATAAGGTCATTTTCCAACAAAGCTGAAAAAAGTTTAAAAGACGAGGGTCGTGTTTTGGTTTGTCGGTTTGTATATATGTTTAATCCTTGGAACATTGAGGGCAATATACGGTATTTATTCCTAAACAAATTAAAAACTTTTAGATATCTTATCGACCATCTTTACATCCTCTCTGTTACAACATTTTCTTGATTGAAAGGTATTGCAACTCGTATTGGTTATTATTTTGACCGCAAGAAGCATCAATGACTTTTTTTTTTGCAAGTAAAACAAAGTTTCGTCATACAAAAATTCATAATTCGTCATAGATATAAGAAGATGTGGTATGAGTGCCAACGAGACAACTCTCCATCCAAGTCACCATTTGTAAAAGTAAACCATTATAGGTCAAAGTACGCGGCCTTCAACACGGAGCCTTGGCTCACACCAAACAGCAAGCTATAAAGGTCCCCAAAATGACTAGTGTAAAACTTTTCAAACAGGAAAACCAACGGTCTAATATATATAAAAAACGAAAAACGAGAAACAATTATAAACCATCAACAAACGACAACCACTGAACAACAGGTTTCTGACTTAGGACAGGTGCAAACAAATGCAGCGGGTTTAAAGTTTTAACAGGCGCCAACCTTCACCCTAACCTGAAATAATATTGTTACATCACAACATAAAAAGACACACTATAAAATATCAATGTCTTTTACAGATTTAATATATAAGTGTATCTCTAAAACATATATTTTGGGGCAACCTCATTCTGTTGACAAAGACAACCAAATCGTCATAAAAAGTTTGTTGAGTACTAAGTTAATGAACACGGAGGACAATTTTTGATCAACATTTATTTATGATTAAATCCAATTATTTGTATTATCACTTGACTAATGGAAACAACAGCAATTTGAATAACAAATTTACAATTCATCTTGCTTCGGGCTTCTACAATTTGATAATTATCTAGAAATCAAATTCTATTAAAATTTCGTTATTAAAATTCCTATTAGATTTATAAAATTCCACTGAGGCTACATAGACCGTATATAAATTCGAACAACTGATTCATTTTCAGGTATTTGAAAGGGAAACTATAAAGGTAAGACTGAGCACCTGAATTATCATAATGGCAAAATTGTACGAAAAAGGTAGATGTGTATTTATCAATAAATATTGTAAATATAGATATATATATATATATATGGTGCATTTTGTAGCTAACTCATTTCGTAAATCAGTCGGTATGCATTTTTCGTCAAGATAGTCTTATTGATATATACGAAGCAAACTTACTTGTGTTTTATTGATTAATTTAGATTATTTAAATGACATATTTATATGTTCGTACTTTGAATCGACAGGAAAGGTGGTTCGACAAATCGCAATATTTCAAAAACTGAAACAACTGATAACAACAAGTTGGAAAACATTAACACATGGCAACCATGATTGTATTCATTTTCATACATAAGATATGGACTGAGCTGTACGATATCCCGCTTATTAGAGACTTTAAGCGATATGATAAACAGTTATTTCGAAATAAAGAGTTTTGATCAACTCCAGTTATTTTATTTCAGTATTATAATAAACGGACAATTGGCTAGTTGTTTCACCTATTTATCTAACGGTTAAATCCTCTATACGACCTATTTTGCTATACTAATATACTCGTCATCAGCTGAGACGCGGACTGAAACAAAAAAAAATGAGACTCCAGTTAGTATATTATGACTTTTGTTTATTTTTGTACAAGACACCCTATCCTTGATCGTCTTTCATAGATCGAATAAATGATAATGCATCTCAAAATTCGAAATAATACAATATTTGTGACGGAGAAAAAGAAGTCTGTAACATGGCCTTTAATTAATTGTCAATCTACAGAATTTATATTGCATCATACTATACGCCGACCAAATTGTCTCTTTTCATATCAAATTCCATTCTGTGTGATAACGAAAAAATATATATTCATTTCACGCGGAGAAAAGATAAAAGGCCACAGCTACAAGATAATTTATCATTACTGTTTTGACAAATAGATCGGATGTCAGAATGTTTATGCAAAACAAACTAATTAACGTCTTTAAGCTCAAAATATTGTAATATTGTAATGCTATAAATGGTCGGAGATCATTATTTATCGCAGTTGTGTAAGTTTTGTTTGCAATGAGACGAACTTAGTTGCAAATAAGTAATTTATGTTTTTATCTTACTTTATAGATGACAAGAACAGCTCTACTGGTATTCTTCGTGACACTAATGGTCGCTCAAATACATGGAAAGTCAATTACAAGATCGCAACCGGATGTAGAGACGGAATGTTGGGAACTTTGCTCTATGGACTTCGAGAAATGTCGAGAGTTTTATATGTGTCCTAAGAAACATGACGAATTCGGCGAAGCTCAACAATGTTCATCCTGTGCAAAGAGGTCTATTGCTTGTCTGGAAAAATGTATCAATAAGAAATAATGTTCAAAATAATTGTATACTAACACTGTTGTTTTTCTTGTTGAGGAAATAGATTAACATCAATTAAGCTGGTTTTTTTCGTTGCTTAGTACAACACATCACACTTACATTAATCTATAAAAAAAAAAAAACGTTCAAATTGTGACGGCGTTTTATATTGCATCATACCACTGTAAATTTTACTTCTATATCAAACCTTTTTGTTAACTTTGTTCATAAAAAACTCTTGAACGTAATTATATCCAGCGATTCATATTGACTTTTTTATTGTAACATCCAATGTAAATATTAAGACAATTAAATCCACCCAGTCCCATTAGCCAACCTTACATGTAACATCAAAACGTAATGTGAAGACAATTTAGTCCACCCAGTCCCACTAGCCAACCTTACATGTAACATCAAAACGTAATATAAAGACAATTTAATCCACCCAGTCCCACTAGCAAACCTTACATGTAACATCAGAACGTAATGTGAAGATGATTTAGTCCACACAGTCCTACTTGTGAACCTTGTATGTAACATCCATTGTAAATGTAATGATAATTTAGTCAATGTTGTTCCACTAGTCAACCTTTCATTTAAAATTCAATGCCGATGTAAATTTGATATAGTCCACACAGTTCAACTAGCCAGCCTTACATACACCATCCAATAGAAAAGTAAAGATGATATAGTCCACCCAAAGCCACTAGCCAACCTTACATGTAACATCCAATGTAAATGTAAAAATAATTTAGTCCTTACATTAGCAGTTCTTTAAATGAAAAGCGTAATTCTTATTTCGTATTTAGGTATTCATTTTAGATGTTATGTGTACGATTCCTTGATAATATTCCTCGACTTTCAAAAAACCTCACTATAAAATAGAGGCAGAAAATGCCAAAGGGATATTCGAACTCATAAATCGATAACAAACTAACAATGACATGGCAAAATACCGATCAAAGACAAACAATAGTCTCCAAACACAGGACTGAGCAACACGAACCCTACCGAAAGCCGGGAGGGTAAGCAGATTATGTTCCACATGACGCACACGTCATGTTGCTCATGCAAGTACAAACGATTGATAAGTCAGATTCGAGGAAAAAGGACGGGATTGTGGTTACAACAATTAAAACATAACCGTCGTCATTTGTAAACAGATATTCCATTCGTTCAACCAAATCGTGATGGCGTCTGTTACATTTTCGAAGGAATGACTTCAACTCAACCACTTGGAACTCTTGAATTAGTATCAATTTGAGAACATTTTGTATGTCTGACTACTTTGTATGTCCGACTACTTTGTATGTCTGACTACTTTGTATGTCCGACTACTTTGTATGTCTGACTACTCTGATTTTATTGTCGTGCCTTCACTTAAAGTTCTTGTTCACATAAACGTACCTGCATTAATGATTCATAAGAATTTTCCTTTCTCAATACCATTAATTATACATTATTAAAAACATTGGCAAGTCCTAGATACATAATAGTCCCTAGAATTACAACATTATCTATTAACATCACTATATATATAACTTATCGAAATATAACTTTTCCAAGTAAGCTTTAGAGAGCACACAACGAAATGTCTTTCTTGCTTTACTGGAAGTGATTGAATTCAATGTTGAAAGTCTTTATTATAATAAATGTATTACATAAACCTAACCTTATCACTGATCTATGAAAAAAATCAAGGCTAGATGAACCCTGCTAGGTGGACATGTACACCTTACAATCTTTCCATACACCAATTATAACTGCCTCATTTCAATTGAACAAAACCATGAAAAGCTATCGTTGGTCACTAATCTATGAAATGAGGCCAAGGTCAGGCGATCTAAGAAATCTATATACTTATTTAGTTGTCGCATTAGGTGAGAAATAACGTAACTAAATTTATACAACCGTCAACGAACCGTTAGAATGAGGTCAATAGCGGGCACTGTGTACTAGATATGGAAAGAAACCCATCATAGATACCAGGCCTTAACTTTTTTCGCCAGACGTTCGTTTCGTCTACAACAGACTTTTAAAAGAGGGACGAAAGATACCAGAGGGACAGTCAAACTCATAGATAGAAAACAAACTGACAACGCCATGGCCAAAAATAAAAAGACAAACAGACAAATAATAGTACAGATGACACAACATAGAAAACCAACGACTAAGCAACACGAACCCCACCAAAAACTGGGGGTGATCTCAGGTGCTCCGGAAGGGTAAGCAGATCCTGCTCCACATGTGGCACCCGTCGTGTTGCTTATAAATGACGCCCGAATTAAACAAGTTAAAACGGCCAAATAAAAAACGAAGTTGAGCATTACATACCCCAAATTTCGAATGGTTTTGCTAAATACATCTAAGGTAGTATATTCCTTGGGTAAAAATACTTAGAATTCCGAAAAATATTTCGGAATATTCTGGTCTGCTATCTTCTGAATTTTAAGCTTTAATCTAATACTGTAAATTCAGAAATTAATGAGTGCATTTACTATTGTGAATCACTGATTGATCTGATTAATGCAAATGCAAAAACTAGGTGAAGGAAAATCATTACTGAAATTATGAATGTGAGTTTTTATAATTGCGATCGTGATACTTTCGAATTGTTCGCATTAAAAAAAAAATCGCAATTATTTCTGAGTAGTTAGGCCGCCATCGGATTAGCGTTCCTATGTGTCGTAGTCTGTGACAGATGTTATAGGCTAGAGAAACAAATTAGGTCCAAAAACTAATGTATTAATTTAGGGGATTATTTGCAAATTTTACGTATGCGTTCAGGTATGATAAAAGGTGTATACACGTATGTAGTGGCAACATAATGGTGCAATTCGCTATTTTGTAGACTACAGTTTTTAACTATCAGTTCCCATGTCCAATGAATTTAATAATGTGCACTTATTAATGAAGCTTATTCAATGATTTATCGATAACATTAAAATTGTGTTATTCAAATTCTTTGACATTTTAATAACTTTAATTCCTTTTCCGTTTTAACAAAGATGCAATAAAATTAAATACCTGTTTCTTTTATGAATCAGTTTAGTGCATACACTGCATAAATGAACACTGAGGAAACCGAAGTATATATAAAAGCACATTATAGTCCACTTACAAATACTTGTTCATCTTTACCCACAACGAAATACTGTAGCTATTTTAAAGGGAAAATGCAAAGTAGTTCATTCATCTTATTTTTGTGTATCACAGGATGCCATATTTCGTATGAATATGCTTTGGGTAAGTTTTTGTTTTTGTTGGTACGGCACAATTCATTTTCATGTTCATTTGTTGACTTATTTGTAAGCTGCTATGTAAACTATGATAACATTCCTGAGTGTGTGACTATTGTAAGAAACATGTTGAGATAACACATGTGCATGTATCATAATTATAATATAGTTATTGTGCAAAAAACAATTATCACGGTTATACTGTTTTATGCGAAAATTATCCTCAGTTTCAAAATTTAACTGGAAATATTGTCAGTTGCCCAATGCATATTTTTACACAATACAAGAACAGACTCCGTCATTTGTGGTTCAAAATAGGTCGAAATGTCTTATTCATAAAGTTAAAAAAAGTACTTAAACAATATTAACATATTAAAGTGACGAACAAGCAGGACCTTAATTGGTTGGTGATTTTTTTTCGTTATTTTTAATCCAAAAGACATATAAAACACGAGTTTGACTAAGCATCGCGTTAGAGTTTGAAATGAGCTTCAAGTACATATAAGTTAATATTCGAGTTGGAGTAAAACTGTTCCAGTTAAAAGTTGAAAATTGAGTAAACATGATGCTAAGTTCCAGCAATACACCTTATCGCTATTTGTCCGCCATTACTGGACATCACACAAGTTCCCGTAAAATTTTGACGTCATAATAGAAAATGTCTGACGCCACAATGGAAAAGTGTTTGTTGTATGACGTCAAAAGTTCGAGCGGGACAGATTCTCGGGTCAAGCGGGAATAGCGATAAGGTGTATAGTTCGGGTTCCAGTTTGACTACGAATAACAATTTTAGTTAAATGCTGTCAATAAAAATAAATTGTTTTAGAATATGAAATGTAGTAGTCAGAGGAATTGTAATGCCTTTTATGACACATGCAACAAACGGTTATACTGATGTGTGCAGTATCTGTCAGATTTCGCTACCCATTGTAGTAATAGTTTACTGATTTTAACCCGCATCTATAATGGTTTTCAATGCACAACGATATGATACCATCGACATCTTGCATTAATTTCACCTCAGTGTTAATAGGCGTCGTAAACGTGTAGCGAGTTGTGTCATGTGGCTTGTGTATTTATATCAATGGTTAGGTACCCCTATAGACAAATTGTAACTTTCTTAGGGTACCATCTTTCCTGTAACAAACACTTCACTGTTGGCATTAATTAAATGATACATCTTGTCTGTAAAATTCGAGGTCACATTAATTATATAACTGTAATTAAACTAGGTTGCAACTCCCTCACGCAAATTTAACTTTAAGTAGTTTTAGCTTAATTTTTTTTTCAGTTTAAGCACTTTTGGTTTTATGCCTCAACATCTATGTTTTTGGGTCCCAGACGTTTGGTCTCTTGTGTACCCAATGCAGTTTATCCTATGCAGTTTATCCTATTTATATATCCAGTGAATCAACCAGACTCGCCATCACGAGTTGGTTGACCGTTATGGAATAACCGTTTCACAGATGATATCGGATATGTTCCTTATGTCGTAACTACAATACCCTTCCCTTTTCACGAATGTGACCTACCGAATTAGACTATTTACCGGATTTGTAATAACATAAGCAACACGACGGGTGCCACATGTAGAGCAGGATCTGCTTACCCTTCCGGAGCACCTGAGATCACCCAAAGTTTTTGGTGGGGTTCGTGTTGCTTAGTCTTTAGTTTTCTATGTTGTGTCATCTGTACTATTGTTTGTCTGTTTGTCTTTTTATTTTTGATCATGGCGTTGTCAGTTTGTTTTCGATCTGTGAGTTTGACTGTCCCTCTGGTATCTTTCGTCCCTCTTTTATCCTATACACACACACACGTCATAATCGATGTCATATTTATATATCCAGTGAATCAACCAGACTCAAGCTGGCAGCCACTTTTAGCAGCCAATCAAGATAGCAGCCACTGTTTTCCAGCAGCCAATTTTGATGATATGTCTAAAAACCAAAAACTGTGTGAGACTCAAACGTTCCAAAAATCTCAAAATCTAGTTTAATAGAATTTAACAGCGGAATTCGACAATTTCACTGCTTGTACTGATTCTCAAAGCATTTCAATCCGTTTTAAATACCAATAATGATAGCAGCCACTTTTTTTCGGAGGACACTGTTTGTTTAATAAAAAAATGTTCAATTTACAATTTAAAATCGTTTTTTTTTCGTTCTTTTTCTCGTTTCTGATTCCTTATGATAAGGAGGTAGAATAACAATGTAGGAATAGAAAATAGATAAGATATCAAAGTACAACTTCCATTGTTGATAATAGATTTAAGTTAGTTGTGAGGAATCGTGTGATATATATATAATTCCAACCAATTTGGACTGAATGAAAAAGATGCAATGCACGATAGAAAAATTACATACATGCTTTCCATATACTCGGCATCCTCAAATATCCAGTATTTTAGTTGAAACCATTTTTAATATATATGTATGTATATATCAAGTGAAAACATTTCAATATACATGTAATGGTTATCTCTTATTAATGTGAACAAGTATTTTTCACAAAGATCCTACGTGGACTATTTTCCAAAGTTCCGAACCAGACCTAGCTCATTTCAAAGGTGTTGACCGAGGCTATTCGCCACTAAAATATTTTTCTGGGATCCGGGCCCGTCTGGACACCACAGTTTTAGTTATATGTCAATTATTTGTACTGGCACATTTGACAATCAAAATTTCAGTTTAGAATTAATGAATTGGTAATGATGCATGCCGTACAAAATAGTCCACGTAGGATCTTTGTGAAAAATACTTGTTCACATTAAAAAAGAGATAATTAACCGTTACATGTATATCGAAATGTTTTCATTTGATATATACAGAAATTGATATTAAGGTTCATGTGGACCCTTTGGCTAAAATGGCTGCATTTTCACCTCAAATTTACTCTGAGTACAGACAAACCTGCGCATCTGGAAAAGTTTTAAGGCATAGCATGCCCTAGATAAATAAACTTCTAATGCATTGTATGTTTTAGAAAATTTAAAACTTAACTGGATTTAGCAGTGCACTTTTTTTCGTCCCTGCAGAAGATGATAAAATTAACAAACAGTGGAGTTTCACTTGATATGGTCCACTCAGGTACACAGTTTAAATCACCAATTATTGTCAGGTATCTATTGTCCATCTATTGTCCATGTCAATCAAAACAGTTCACTTCAATTATTACTTGTGGGGAAGTTCTCAAACCTCTTTCCCAACTTAGTTTATTTTGGCACCTTCTGGAGGAATGAAAAAAAAGTGCACTGCAAAATCCGGTTAAGTTTTTAATTTTCTAAAACATAAAATATATTTGAATTTCATTTATCTAGGGCATGCTATGCCTTAAAACTTTTCCAGATGCACAGGTTTGTCTGTACTCAGAGTAAATTTTGAGGTGAAAATGCAGCCATTTTAGACGAAGGGTCCACATGAACCTTAAAAATGGTTTCAACTAAAATACTGGATATTTGAGGATGAAAGGTATATGGAAAACATGTATGTAATTTTTCTATCGTGCATTGCATATTTTTTATTCAGTCCAAATTGGTTGGAGTTATATATACATAACACGATTCCTCACAACTTACTTAAATCTATTATTAACAATGGAAGTTGTACTTTGGTTTCTTTTTTATTTTCTATTCCTATATTGTTTCTGTACCTCCTGATCATAACGAATCAGAAACGAGATAAAGAACGTAAAAAACCCGATTTTAAATTGTATATTGTACATTTATTTATTAAACAAACAGTGTCCTCCGAAAAAAAGTGGCTGCTATCATTATTGGTATTTAAAACGGATTGAAATGCTTTGAGAATCAATATAAGCAGTGAAACTGTCGAATTCCGCTGTTAAATTATATTTAACTAAGATTTTGAGATTTTTGGAACGTTTGAGTCTCAAATAGTTTTTTTGGTTTTTATACATATATTCAAAACTGGCTGCTGGAAAAAATTGGCTGCTATTTTGATTGGCTGCTTAAAGTGGCTGCCAGCTTGAATCTGGTAGTGAATCAAGTTAAAGGAATTTTCAAACACTAAATACTTTCATTTAGAATTCTGTGTTGTGTTTATACTAGTGTTTTGTAGACTTCTATGGTATTGTAGTAAAAGCATAAATGTAAATGCATTTGGTCATATTTGCTTCTATCATCAACTCGAGTGGTTCAATTAAGTGTATTTTTTTCTTATAGATAGAAAGATTAAGCAGAGAACTATAGAGGAGAAAATTGTTCATTTGCTAAGGTCCTCGCTTTCGTCAGAGGATAAACGGGAAAGTGGTACATGTCCAACGGGGATGGACTATGATGAAGCTACTGAAAGTTGTAAATGTTTTGACAAAAACTCTGTATACAATGAAGAAAAGAAAATATGCCAGTGTAATAATGGTTTTAAAGAATTCATCTTGACAGATAATCGTATAGAGTGTTTCAAATATGACGACGGTAAGATATTTATTAAGACCATTGTCTCTTCTTGTATAAGAGCACATAAAGTAGGTTAAAGGTCATGGTAAAAAATCAAATTCAAAATTTTACAATTCATGTAAAAGTATATATAAATGCATGTTTAAAGGAATGGCTACAATGAAATACCTAAAAGAGTGCACCACATTTTAGAGGTTATTTCGAATAGACAGAAAAAAATATTACAGTCATTCCTTATAATCTAATTCTAAATTCCATTTTTAAGGAGTAAATCATGAAAAAAAGTTGATGACGTCACGGTCACATGACAAAATTATGTCTATGAGCTGATAGAAAAAACACTTTCAGCCAATCAGAAGACGTGTTACATCCAAAATTAAATTATTCTCCAGTAAATGTTTCAAGTTTGTTCTGTTCTGTGTTTTTTGTCTTTTATAACGAAAAAAATTGTTATAGTACACATAATATTTACTATATATCTCAGCATTTTTTCATTTTTCACTTAAAACTTTCTGTTGGCTTCGTAAAACCTTAAGAAGAACGAGGAATACGATACGAATGTCAAAACAAAAACATTAAATAAAAATTTAATCACAATTAATCACAATTAAAATCAGGATGAACTCGGGTGTTTTTGAAACTAACTATAGTTCGCTTCCATAAAGAATGAACTTCACACAATCCAAATTTTGAGTTTGAATATCGACTTATCATGCATGCATGTATAGCAGAAGACGCTAACCTTGTCGAGTGGGCGAGTGACGAGTGGGCGAGTAGTCTAAGTAGTTTATCTACTGTATCACTAGCCTGTTAACACTGGATACCGCACGTGGCAGGTGCAGTCGACTCCAATCTGAATTAACTATGATTGCCAAATTTTCTGTCGAATATCTCTCGAGATACTACGGCTTCCTCCACAAATAAAACTAGCCGCCACGATAGAGGCAATATTGCTTAAAGTGCCGAAAGTGGCGACAAAAACAACAACAACTATCAATCAATTATGCAGTTTTGAAAATGTCAGTATTAAGAAAAAGTTTCCGTTTATCAACTGTAAGCGTTCCGGTGACTAATTGTATTGCCAAAACGAAAAAAACCGTGATTGAGCAAGAAACAAAGTAAAAGTATCGCTATATCAGCTTTATTGTGATCTGTTGTTATTCACGTCCTTCACTTTGCACTTAGTTATGGTGGATATTTGTAGATATTTGTCTCAATGACGATCATACATTTGTTCTGATATGCACACAAACTTAAAGGAATTAAAAAGTCCAAAACCACTAATATTTTATTTTATTTCTATAGGTGTTTTTGACCTACCTGGATTGGATGGATAGAGAGAATAATCATGTCTACAATTATGCACATTTATTTTGTACTATCTATTGAAATGAAAATGACAATCAATATTTCGAAAACATATATATTAATCAGCCGTAGAATTAATATAGTCCCCTATCCTTTCTTTTTTTTTAAAGCTCTTATATCGTTATCAACATAATGATCACCAAGACATCATATAATAATTGGTAAAAACAGAGAAACGTGATAGATATTTCAATTGAGAGAAAACACAACGAAACATAGCAGAACACATGCAAATAAAAGTTAAATGAGGCAATGCTCATAATACCCTCGATGATGTTAAGGGCATAGGATACAGTTTCGATCCCACGGAAATTTTTTCCGAAAATTTGCATACAAGCTATTTTTCAACTGGTCAATTCAAATATGTTGTACATGTACGTCTATTCGTTCAGTGTATGTTCACTTGTTTTTGTTAATATGTCTTTTGATTGAATAAAGCCATTTTCAATTGATATTTTATAGTGTGTCTTTCTATGTTGTGATGTTACACTATTGTTTCAGGTAGGGTGAAGGTTGGCGCCTATTAAAACGTTTAATCCAGCTGCATTTGTTTGCACCTGTCCTAAGTCAGGAACCTAATGTTCAGTGGTTAACGTTTGTTGATGTGGTTCGTACATGTTTCTCGTTTCTCTTTTTTTATATATATTAGACCGTTGGTTTTCCTGTTTGAATGGTTTTACACTAGTCTTTTATGGGGCCCTTTATATCTTGCTGTTCGGTTTGAGCCAAGGCTCCGTGTTGAAGGCCGTACTTTGACCTATAATGGTTTACTTTTACAAATTTTGACTTGAATGGAGAGTTGTCTCATTTGCACTCATACCACATCTTCTTATATCTATAAAAAAATATACCTTTATGTGCTAAATTTAGAGTTAAATGGGGTCGAAAGTTTTGACATATACCTAAAATTTCGGTTTCTTGGACATTTCTATCCTTTTACTTAACTTTTTTGTTTCAAAAAATAAACACAAGCGGAATTTTGTAAAACGATTTGGAATATCTTCTTTACAAAAGTATCCACTTGTGTACCAATTAATTAAAAATAATTCATTTTTATCTAATTTTCAGATTTTAGAAAACACCGGCATTTTTTGCTGTATATTTATCTAATTTAAAAAAAAAAATATTCATCGGTGCTTTTTTTCACAAAAATTGGAATAAATAATCTTCATATAGTATCAAGTCAAATATAATTTTAAAAAGAAGGGGTACATGGACTCGTTTTCAAGCTATGGATTAAAATCACTCGGAAAATGCATCTTTTCCCGAAATGTCGCAGTTTGACGTCGCGAAAAATAACAATTTACGTTAGCAACGTCATTACATCCCCTGTAACTGTATCGTACGCTCTTAATATATATTATCATTCATTTTTGAAAATTGGTGCTTGAATGACTTACTTATTTAGATTTGACTTGCATCACATGTTTTGACCTCTGGAATTTTTTTGGGAACATTTTAAATGTCGCTTACACCCCGGAAAACTTTTTGTGCAAACAAAGCAGTCGATGATAAAATTTCAAATAAACCATCGCCACCGGATATGGTTGCTTAAATGAGACAAGAACGCAACAACAGACAAAACAAGGAGAGACATTTCAACACACGGTCCTCAATACTAGACAAATTAATTTAATCTGTCGTGCCATGTCGACCAGAAAATTGTCAAAAAGTTAATAAACTAAACATCTTACCTTCCATTAAAACCATTGTATGCTTTTAATTTCAGTCGAAGGAAAATGTTTAATATAAAACATTTAACAAAAATACCGAACTCCAAGGCAAATTCAAAAAGAGGAAGTCAATAAAAAATGACAAAACCAAACGCTATCAATCAACGAAACAAGTGAAACACAACGGCTATATTTCTGACTTGGTACGAGACATTTTCCGAAGAAAATTGTGGTTTAAACCGGATTTTATAGCTAACTAAACCTCCGCTTGTATGACAGTTGGTTATAGTTTCAACTATATTGACAAATTGGGTGAGCAACCCAAACAGACATAATAGGTTAATGTGACAATAACTGGGATCCAGCAGCCAAAACTGGGTAAACATGCATCACAGGCATACAACACAACTGACTAAAAAAATTAAAAAAAACATACAAATTAATCTAACAATGATGTCAACAAAAACTGTTTTTGTCGTGATAGTACATACCGTACATGGTATACACACTTTCTCGATAAAGTACAAATTGAGTACTAGTAAATGTAAATAAAAGGGTAAACAAAATAGAATCAACGCCTAACAAAACCCTTTGTGTCCGAAATCGCACCTCAAGATCCACCTACACTAGGAATGTCCAAAGTTAAAACGTCAAAAACCAGAAAGATGTATAAATACTAAGTCACGTCAAAAGCCATACGACCAAACGAAATTATAGCACTAAGACAGATAACGGGAGAACTAAAGTAGAATAAAGCACCTAGAATATATAACTCAAGATCATCTTGTATCATTTGTGAAGTAAACACTGAATATTTATCTATTAGGTCTTGGTACTTTCCGATGAACTTTTTTAGAGAAAGAACGAGACATTCTTTGACAGAACCTATGACAAACGAGACGATTTCAATTTTGAAATTATAAATTTCCTCACCTTAGCAGCAATATACCGACTTCACCCGCGCATGAAGAATACATTTCTCAACGCATACGATATTCAAGAGCTTGCAGCTGCTACTCAGACTTTATAAAACGTCATCGGTGTCTGAGCAAACAAATGTATTCTTCATGCGCGGGTGAAGTTGGTATATTGCTGCTAAGGTGAGGAAATTTATAATTTCAAAATTGAAATCGTCTCGTTTGTCATAGATTCTAGTATTGAGATGACCGCTGTTGTCAAATTCGAGGTAAATATCTAGAAATGATGCGGAGGAAACTGTATCTGTGGTTTCTTTAATCTGTAGTTCAAGAGGATATATTAATGGGACCCAATCAGAATATGAAATCAAATAATCTAGATTCTTTGAACTTCTTGTTTTTAACAATTTCTGAAGGAACTCCGACTCATATGAAAATAAGAAAAGGTCGGCCAGGAGAGGTGCACAGTTAGTTCCAATAGGAACACCGACAACCTGCTGGAAAATTGTACCTCCAAATTCAACAAATATGTTGTCAATGAGAAACTCCAGCATACTGATCACTTGTTCTTCGGTGTAGCATGTTTATTTCCGGGCTCATTTTTAACAAAATATGTCGAATCATATCACACACAAAACAATAAATTTATAGCGTATGGTATCATTTTAATGGAGGAAAGCTTTGTTGATTATTTCTTTCAGAATAATAGGAAATGTACCTTTAGCTCCTAAAGTTTTAAGCAGTTGTTGTGTTGGATATAGAGAAATCAATGTTGAATACAGTGTCTTTATTAGTAGTGTATAAAAATAAGAAGATGTAGTATGATTGCCAAAGAGACAACTCTCCACCAGAGACCAAATGACATAGAAGTTAACAACTATAGGTCCCCATGATCAACTTTTGGGTTTTATTTAGGTGCTGGATTGGTGTTTGATTAACGTTTATCCCTCATTTGCTCTTCTGATTTCTCCGTCTGACTGTAATTCCCTTGCTGAAACTGGATTGCGCACTTCAATAAGTGTGGGATGTATAATACACAGTCACGAACGGCTTGAATGGGTACAACCATTTAAGAAACATTTCTGAGTTTAGGATAGCTTATCCTTTCCATTTCAAGCAGCGACATTCAAACCGTCTTCCATCGTTTACTGAAGAAGAACAGTCAGAATCTACATAATTGATTTTAATGTAAAACTTGTTCTTGGTCTAAATATGAATGGAATATTTTCCATTGAAATAACAACCAATCAGTTTACTGGCAATCAAATCGTTTAGTATTATTGTATCAATCGCATCGATAAATGATCAATTTGTTTGTTGTTTATTTTCAATTGACGAAGAGGACAAGAGACCTTCATTATTATACTAAAACTTAATTTTGTTCATTTCGCGTAAAACGTTTGATGAAGAAGAGAGGCGAAAGGTCGATGAACTGCGTTTACTGTCATTGAATGTAGTGTTTTTTGGTGATACCCATAAATTAGCCTCACAATGGGATGTCTCAGGTTTTATGTATTATAAAATATCAAGTTTAATGCAATGTATAACTTTCGAATTTTCAAAGCGTTTTATAATGTTCATGTGTCTAGTTGTGTTCAAAGAGGCATAACTTACCGTAGACTTCCAAATAGTTTTTCATACTCCAGAATATGTGTTTAACATTAATTTGAGTGTATGCAGATAAAACGACATTTATAAGGTTTCTTGTTGATTAAGGAAGCGAAAACAAAGCAGGAACATTGTGTTTTTCGGACGCAGCCATCAGTTAAGTCGTTATTGTCTTCAGTTGAAGTTGTAAACATGAACGGTACTATTTTATCTCATTTTTCTGTAAAGTACTTACGTCAAAGAAGGACAATGATTCTTTTTCCGTAGATATAAAAAAAAATAATTCAAAGATTACTCAATTTGTTTTCAATAGATATAAGAAGATGTGGTATGAGTGCCAATGAGACAACTCTCCATTCAAGTCAAAATTTAAAAAAGTAAACCATTATAGGTCAAAGTACGGTCTTCAACACGGAGCCTTGGCTCACACCGAACAGCAAGCTATAAAGGGCCCCATAAATTACTAGTGTAGATGCCATTTTAGAAGAACGAATTGTACGTATATTTGTAGGATATATCTAATTTTATGATCTAATATTCCAATAACTTTGTGATTTTTAGAATAGCATTTTAATATATGTCGATTAATATTTATGTTTTAAACCCATTATTGTAGAAATTAATTAATGGTTATGTCAACGCTACTGTTGATATGATGTGATTATTTGATTATGAGTTTTTTCCCTCGATATATTTGTTTGTAAGTATAGAAATTTAACATTCCTGACATTCTACTTTTTTTCTATAAAAGTATGCAGATTTAAATTTTATCAATATAAAAACTCTTTTTTCAAAGTATGCTTGATCATATTGAGAAAACCTTCGATACATTTTGTTTAAAATTACTACATCAATTAGCATTGCTGAAGATATATGCATGTAGCATTCCCAGTGTGTTAAAAATAATTGTGTTTATATGTTAGTTGTGTTGTATATCTATGCTGTATGTTTACACAGTTTTGGCTGCTGGAACCCAATTATTGTCACAGTAACCTATTATGTCTGTTTAGGTTGCTCACCCAATTTGTCAATAAAACGGAACTATAAACAACTGCCATACAAGTGGATGGTTTTGCGAAATATACAACCAGGTTTAACCTACCATTTTCTTCGGAAAATGTCTGTACCAAGTCAGGAATATGACGGGTTTTTTTTCCATTTGTTCCGCTGGTTGATAAAGTCTCACGTTTGATTTTGTTATTTTTTATGAACATCCCCTTTTTGAAGGTACCTTGGAGCTCGGTATTTTTGTTTTACTTTTTTGACTAATAAAAAAGATATATGTCAATATAGCTGAAGAGAATATGCGTAATCCTTGTTAAGGTACTGAATAGTCACACGGTATACTAAACAATGTGCGTTTAATTATTCTAGAACGTTCAAGGTAATACGTCGCAGTCTTATAACAGAAAACATGCAAAACTACGGAAATGTCAAAAAAGATAACCACATTTGCTTTACTATTTGATTACGTGACCGTAAAGCAGATACAAAACATCATATAAATGTTTGTTCGATTGCTCAAAATAATTGTATATTTTTGAAAAACATATCAACTAATTGTTTCATACATATAGATTATCATTATAAATTTGAATAGTAATTCTTTTTTAATCTGAAATCCCATGGTCCTCTACAGCTGGATCGAACACATACTTTACAATATGTTCACCTTGATATGTACTTTGTAAAACGATACAATAAAAAACATGTTATTGAGGAAGTTGAATAAGTACACCAAACAGTACGTGTACATAAGTTAGCTAAGATGAAATGTGTTAAAATTCAAGTATATGTATTTCTTATACTTTTTCTAGCACAAAATATGATGTGTGTATTTGACAGTAAGTACTGGCATGTATTTATAGTTAATGATAAAGTTAAATGTATCTGTTGTGAGTTGAAAATTTCCTTTCACTAATAATGTAAAAATATTTTTAAAACTGCAAGTTTTACTTGGGCTTTATTTAAATATAAGAAACAAGAACTAAGTTATAATAGAGAGGCGAAAGATACCAAAGGGGCATTCAAACTTATAAGTAGAAAATAATCTGACAATGCCATGGCAAAAAACCAAAAAAGACTTAAAGACAAACAACAGTACACTAAACACATCATAGAAAACTAAAGACTTAGCAACACGAACCCCACCAAAAAACCGGGGGATGATCTTATAAATGATGTAAGTGTTAGTGATACGACGGCTTTGTGAAATGGATCAGGATTTCTTTATCATTTGTATAGCAGAACATTTACATCTGACCAATAGTGTATTTATACCCCACATGATATAGATTACCAATACACCACTTACGAAAAGTTTGCCCAAATCCTAACTACCAAGAGTTTGCACATACTCCGCATGTTGCAATTGACCACTTAAAACCTTACCATAGTACTTAGTTGTTAACTTCGGATCAGTGAAAAATTAGACACCAAGTACGACCACCATATTTCTGCATTTAAAAGATTTATTATCATTAGTGCATTTTGCATTTTGCATTGGATATTTATGTTTTGTGTACTCTCTTTTATTGTTTCAAATATATTTTTGTTCTCCTCTTTTATTACATACTTTTCTGTACTCCTCTTTTATTTTTACATATTTTTCAAGTAGAAAATTAAGCGTTTTATTTTTTTCTCGTTTTCATATCATTCGATTATTGTGCTTTAATGATATTTTGAAACACTGAGCTTTAAATAGTTTTGTAAAATATCAATAAGCATTGCATACCATGTATACATATGAAAAAACTTGGGTAATAAGAGTTTGTCATGATAATATTGTTGCATACTGTACGTTGTTGGAATTTTTAGAAATATATTTGCACTAGGCTGCTGCCTCCTTAATTTGTTGCCAAAATCGTCATTAGACTTTCTTCACATTTGAATCATATTTTTACAAATAAAAGCTGACTTATGATTCCAGCCGCTGATATATGTCCTACATATGCAACATACCAAACTGATACTCAGACTTGTGAATGTGATAGTGGTTATAGATGGGAAGATACAAGTCATTTGAAATGCGTACCATATAGTACAAGTACGTATATATTATTTCGGAATTATCAATAGTACGAAATGCAATGCAAAATGTATATTTGTTAGATGTCTTTGTTCGTTATAATTTGGTAATCTAATCTCAAATCTGTGTTAATCGTCATTTCACAAGTGTAGCCTACTGAAAGTATTTAGGACTCAGGCGCTTTTGCGTTGCCCCCCCCCCCCCTCCCCCCCCTTTTTCCTTCTTTTTTTGTGTTAATGATTCATTAATAATTGTTATTAAATATCTCCACTTATTTCTCTTTTTTGTGTGTTCTTGCTTTTATAAATACAACTTGACTTGAGACCTTAATGTAATACGTACTGCCAATCTAAACTACAAGTAATATTGGATTTGTGCCTCCAAACAAAGGAGTAAATAAGTCCGCCTAAACCGGTGGCAGTACCATCTTGCACTTTGAGAAGTGACCTTTCGCTCTTTGTTGAATGCCTCATTATGAATGGGACTATAACAACAATTAACACATTGCTTTGGGTTCTGTCAAGTGCGATAGTTGTAAAAAGAACTATCGGAAGTCATGTTTCTGTTTAAATATGAAAACAGGGGAAAAGTTAAATAATTAAAAGAATGTCACACATGAAATGTATGCATGCGTCTTTTTTTTTGACTGTTTTTAAACATTTCAAAAATGTTAAAGCTTTATATTATATCTATATCACTAAACACAATATCAATAAAAACATGTCTACGCCAATTAGATAACAAATTATGGCAACAGTAGTTTTCCGATGTTCAAATCTCAAATCATTTAAATCGATTAAGAAATCAAATCAGAAAAACATATAAAACTGAAAGAGAATGTTACCCAGCAAGACAAGATAAAATAATGGAAATTAAATTTAACGTCCATTAGAAGAACAACAGAAGGGAAGAAATAATAGATATGTATGTTTGCAACATATGTTAAAATTTCTAAATCACTCGTGGTTAAACAAGTTTTGGATATAGCAGTAGTGCTAGTTTTCTTCTTATACCTTTGTGATATGAATACTAAACATATTCATAAACCAGTTAAAATTGCGGTATATAGTTAACTTCAGGCGTATCTTATGGTAGCACGGTAGTATTTGCATTCCAGAATTTAGGTTGCTCTTTTGTCTACCCTACTTAAGTCAATGTATCTGAACATTATGATTGGACAAAAAATACAGTATCAACTGAACATACTTTCCCAAACTGAGGGATGAATCAGGTGTAGAAAAATATGAAATAATTTTACATACAGATGAAAATGAATTTTTGAGAATTTTTTTAAATTTTGTATTCACTGCACGATAAAAGACCTAAAAGCACTAGTGGCCTTAGATTCTTAAAGATAGCAAAAAAAGTAAACGGTCATGATACATATTCAAATTCATTTCTGAATAGTAAAATGAAAGTACTTTAGTTAACTGTGAATGTAGAATTTTTAGCAGTGTTAGAAAGTGGTGAAAATTCTAAAAAGGCTATCATTATCCCTTATGGGCCAGGAAATACTACCGTGCCACCTTAAGGGGGATATACATGTTTACACTAAATCAATGAAGGATTTTTTTTACCTATGCAATTTGTAAGTTTATCAATAAAAAGTTGATTAAGGGCAACTATGATAAAAACAGACCTTAAATTCCACCCCTGGGAGTGAAAATTGCTGATTCAGCAAATTTTGCCTGATCTGTGGGTAATAAAGTAAAAATTTACCTAGAAAGTAGAACTTCATTATTTTTATGTAACTTGCAATACATTTTTAATTATAAATGCTCGCTATAACTTTTCGCAGTGTCTGACACATGTGCAACCACTGGAATTTGAGACGCGACATATTTTATTTGCCTGTACATCCTATTATTTTCACCGAAATAAATAAATTGCATAATTTCTTATTTTTTTCCACACAAGTACAGCTTTACTAGTTTTCTTTAGGTTTAATTTGTAGTTCTGTGGTAACATGACACCAGTATGAGCTTTTTTGGAACCAGCAAGTGGTTAAGGGGGTCCTTACTTATTCATTTAGCCCTCATATTTGACTGAAATAGAGATAGCAATAGGGGTTTCTTTACACTGACAAGACATTTTTTTTACAAAGAATGTAATTATGATTTTATCAGCAAGATTAAATAGTTTATTCAGTTTCCATGCAAATGTCATTAATTGTTTTGATTTTCTGACAATGAAAAGCACAATAAAGGTAAAATGATTATGTAAGGGGACATAATTTAACTTAATGCATACATGAGAAATAGACAAACAGTCAACTTAGAGATATATTCTAGTACATATATTGTCAAAAAGATTTTAGAATGATAGTTAACTGCCATCTAAAGAATCTTGTTGTGTTGCCTTCATAATCTGGAAATGCTTAAAGTAATGTAAGGCATGCTGTAAAATGTGGAATGGACTTGAATATCATTTTTCATGATTTGGTGCTTAAACTGTTTCTTTCAGTCAGATTAACTATAAATAGAGTTGGCAATCCAATAATTCCTCCTGAATCACCATGTTTGACTTCTGTGTTGATTTTGATTGTGCGGGAGGGGGCCTTATATCTTCTGGTTTGTGTGTCCGTCCGTTCATCTGTCCCATACTTAACAAGTTACAGTTTTTGGTTAATGTAGTCTTGAATGAACTTAAGTACACATGTTTATGATTACTTTCTTTAAACATACGTCAAAAAGGGTTTTGACAAGATTTCTCCGTTTACTGCACAACGAAATGTGAAATTGCAAGTAACCTGCGCTTGATGTCTTATAATAGAAAAGAAAGGATATGAGGTATTCATCCATGACACAAAAAAAGAAGGAATAGCGCTTTTATTGCTGTTCTTCATTTGAAAGTCACAGCGAGGCTTTCAACACGTAACAAAAAAACTCTCGCCTCACTGCAAGTTTAAGAAAGACTGGTAAGTGCGGATTTTTTTCCAAACTGACGATCACGCCACAACTGTGAATTGAAGAACAAAGCCATGGAGTAATACCAATAAAATTATAAATCTGGCAAGAAAATCAAACATGTACGGTCATAATTCAGCCCGACAATCACACTGAAGAGTGCAAAAACAATGCAAACATTAAGACAACCACGGGGTACATCGAGATATAGGATAAATAACATGGCAGGAAATAAAGTATGTATAGGAAAAAATAATTCGGATATACTATGTAAGATGTAATACCACCAACTCGGGCCCGGTCATATGAAGTTGATTGATAACGTTTGATATTATCAGTTTTTATAGACTTCTCCTTATTTTTTTTATGAATTATCCTAGTTCAGATTTTGACTTTTGACTGCTCTCTGAACACAGGTGCGTTGGTAAAGCAACTTTCAATTAAGCTCCTTCAAATCATATTATATGTTTCAAAAGCTATATAAAGAGTATTTAATCTTTTACAAGATTTGAGATTTCACTTAATTTGTCATCGTTCTTAAATTTTAGTTAAAAGATAATGTATTCGCTAACTTAAATAAGTAAGTTATAAAATGTTGCAAAAGTTCAGATGACTTATCAAAATTGTCAAAGCGGAAATAGTGTGGTTCTGGAAAACGACAAAATGTTACCATCAGCCATTAGTTACGTACAATAAAGAGATAAATATACTATATACATCATCAGTCAACATAGTTTTCGTACTGAAATCAGTATCAGGTATATTGAATCATTAATTTGAATATTTATCATTCACTATTTCTTATAGACAGTTTTAGCAAGGTTAAAGCTTTGACTTTCATGTATTTTCAGGTTATGAGATGTTGCTATGTCCAGGACTGCTAGTATTTTTGGTTTTTAATATATTGTTGTATTTGTTTGTTTGTTGATATATGTACAACAACAAAATTTAAACATCATTTAAAAACAAACAATTCTTTTCATATAGCTTTTCCGGACAATCCTGGATTGGGGCAAGGATGATGTCAAAACAAGGAAAACAAAATCAAGAATTATTTATTGCTCCAGATTTCATCTGTAAAATAAGAAGAACATATTGGTTTTGTATTTTCTTTAGCATCTATCACATATATTTCTTTTCCAGTAAAACCTTTAATTTTATATGGTAGAAAAAAACACATATGTTATCAACATACAATAATATAAGTGGTTTTAAAAACGAAGAAATCTGATCCACATTGCGAACCAGTGATGTCATACCTAGCCAAAACATCACAGAGAATAGCAAACAACATTTCTAACAGAACTTTGATTGTCTTTATAGTGTGTATATATATATATATAATATATGAACGTTGCCGGAACATTAAATGTTACGTGTATTTCGATAAGTTTAAAAGAGAGGCGATAGATACAACAGGGACATTCAAACTCATAAGTCGAAAATAAACTGACAACGCCATGGCAAAAAAGAAAAGACCAAAAGACAAACAACAGTACACAAAACACAAAGACTGAGCAACACGAAGATCAAAAACGGGGGGTGATCTCAGATGCTCCGGAAGGGTTAGCAGATCTTGGTCCACATATGGTACCCGTCGTGTTGCTCATGTAAGTACAACCCCGGTGATAAGTCTAATTTGGTACCTCTCATTCGTGTAAAGTGGACGACACAACAAACTTTTATCCTGGCTCGTATTTTCAAGCATTATACATTTTTTTTATTTATCCCGTAAATTTATCTGGACGCTTTAAATTTTAGTTTTTTATTCGAAAATTAGTTAATTTTCTTTTTTTCAGATATCGACATGGCTTATTCATGGACAACTGAGAAAACCCATGAATGAACTGTGATGTAAACAGTTATTCTAACCTTCTGTTCTTTTAACACAGAAGGAGGAATATATACAAATGAAAGAAAACACCATTTGTGTGCCTATTATTTTAAGAATAGTTATGACTTTACTGGGAAAATCAATTCTGAAAAGACTGTTTTTAAATTGCATACGCATACTTATGAAGATTTATAATTCAATAAATCGTTGCGACACCTGAATTTATTATACTTTAACTGGAGCTAAATAAACTTTAAAGCAGGTAAACAGAAGTCCAAATTTGCACTTAATCCTACCTCAAATATAAAGAGATATTATTGTGGAGGTAGCATTTCATTGCAGGGTTTTATTAAAACATGAGACCCCAAAGCACATGCATTACTCATCTGGACCTTGTTTGAGTTTACCTGATACAATGCAATTTTAATATTTCCAATAGTGTCCGAGAAAACCCTCAAGTATGGGTAAAAATTATTCAATAGCAGACATAGAAACCGTTAGTTTTCTCGTTTGAATTGTTTCACATTTTTCATGTCGGTGCATTTTGTAGCCGACTATACGGTACTGGGTTTTCTCATTGTTGAAGGTCATACGGCGGCCTATTATTGGTTACATCCACTTCCGTTGAACACTGGTGGATAGTTGTCTCATTGACAATTATACCACACCTCTATTTTTATAATAATAAGTCTTCTGAAAAGTCAATTACGATTTCAGTCATTTTGTCTGATTTGTAGTTCTTGTCCTGTTGATTATTGTTGCTCCAAACATGTTCTATCTATCTACTATAGTTTCCGCCTTAAACACACATATCGGTCATTGAAAACAATAGTGGTTTACCGAGGTCTTTTAAAAAATTGATTCATCTCATAATTCGACTAAGAACACAAACAAAACTGAATGAATCACCAAAAGGGACGATACTAGGTGCGTCGACAATGTACGCGTTTCCTGCTTTGCACGAATGACTAGCCACCACTCTCAGTCAAAATGTTACAATCAGGAACTTAACACAACTGGTAGAATTTCAGATCAGACAACTGTATTGGTTTTTAAAAATCTAACGCCTCGAAAACATGGCGCTTGTTAGTTCAGACACCAACACAATTTATCGGTCAATAAATTCGTGTTGGTGATCGTAAAACATATGTATCCGCAGTGTTGATTTTAGTCGAGCTGCCCCACAACTCTGTTGAATCAGTTTTTGTGTAAGGAGCACAACCTTGTTAACTAAATCCGTATAGTGGTAGAAGCACAACATAAGAACAAAATGTAAACAAAAATGTTGGGAGGGGTTTATTCATCAGACGTAATTTCATGTACTGAAATCTAGTTTTAAGCCAATTACAACTGATAAATAAAATCAGTTTTCCAAGACCAAAAATATAAATCAGTACAAATCTAACGGGTTATGTAAAAAGACGTCATAAAGAGTCTGCGGAACGTATGATTTTGAGCAGTGCCAAAATACAACTATCGGAAACATATAGGACGATGAATGTTCATAACTGTAAAGCAATATATATTAAGTTATTGAAACCAAATCAATGCTCGTACTGGTAAAGACAACACTCAGATATCATTTATTAAGTTCGTTATATATAATTTACTAGTATGAAAAAAGCGTCTTAAAATTTGAAGATTAGAAAGAAACACTTTTTCTACTAATAATGTAAATAAATAACGAAGGAATGACGATAAAATAATGAACAAAAGTCATGTTAAATGTAGAAAAGAAGAGTTTATCTTAGTTTGATATGATAAGTAGGAATACGTACATATGTACATACTTGATCTTACATATTTGAAGGTAGATTGCAATTTGACTTGTATCTAGATAATCAATAGATTAAAAAATATATAATTTTACCTTGGTAAAGCTAGGTATTTAATAGAACTCAGATGATGACAATACCCAGCCTCATTAGGTTCGTTCGTCGTGTACGGAATTTTATAAGAAATCTCTTATGATACATAAAGCTACTATTATGTGCGTGTGTGCTGTTATGAATAGTTGTATGGTATATTCAAATAACTATGTTAAAAATTTAAGGACTACCTTGTCTTTTTGTCATACATGCCAAACAACATTTGAACTATATTCTCATATGTTACCTTAAACGAACACAAAACATCAAATTACTTCTATTCAGCTGCACAAAATTACTCGATACTTTTCAATTATCTTAAATTATTTATCCATCCATAAAGATCATCATCATCAATTGAAATTCTCGTCGTAGTCAACAATAAAATCCAGTAGTCACCTCATCTTGATCGAACAAATACCTTACAACATTTTGACCTTGATTCGTACTTCTATAAAGTTCATAATATAAAAAAAACGTTTCGTTTTGGAACTTATTTCGAACATTTAAAAACGAAACATATATACAAGTTGACTAAGATGACATGTGTTAAAATTCAAGTGTATGTCTTTGCAATGCTTCTTTTTGTTGTACACAATGGGAACTGTGCAATTGCCAGTAAGTGTTTACATGTATTGATATGTATATGTTTATTTGTTGATTGTTTAAAACGTTGTCATTTTTGTAATTTTAGCAGTATCTAAGAAAGCTTTTCAACTGCAATCTTTACATGCATTTGTGGCCTTCGGCTGTTATCTGTTCTTTGGCCGGGTTGTTGTCTGTATGACATATTCCCCATTTCCATTCTCAATTTTATGTTACTTACATATAATAAAAAAAGTATAAATAGTTACCGAATTCAAAGGTAAATTCAAACAGAGTTTTAAACTTTTTACAGTGGCATTTTACTGCTGCTCGTTTAATATTTTGATGTTGATATTTTATTGCGATAATTTCAAATGCACAAATGCAATAATTCGGGTATTGAAAACCTCATGGTAAGAGGTAAATGTTCTGTTATCATAGAATTAATTAAAACCCTCGTCCATTATAGAAATGATCGTATGACTTTTAACTTAATATTTCCAATCCATGTGTACCTTGGGTATCTCGTATTCCTGCATTTGAAGTCATTCATATTTATTAGGTTCTTAAAGCTTTGGAAACTACGTTTTGCTTGATAATGAATGATTTCGGGTTTTTTTCATCATATCATTCGATCAGTGTACTCTTGTGGAATTTTCAACACTGAACTTTGAACAATTTGTTAAACATTCAAAGTCGTACGTATGTCCTTTCAAATAAATAAATAATCATTATAGAGGACGATGTCCTAAAAACAGTATAAAAATTAATGATCCAAATTCGTCAACTTTTTAACAACATTAGGACCTGTTGACGGAGACTGCCATGTTGTAAATAACAATATGTTCCAGAAAATTTGAATATCTGACTACCAAACGTTATGACGAACATAATACGGATTTTTGCCTTTTTCACAGGTAACACCTACCTCTTATTATACATTGAATATAAACTATCACCGATTTAGGACTAGTTATTTTGCTAACCTTTGAACACTCTAGGTTTTTTCTTACAAAGTCTGGCTCCTCTTTTGTTCAAAAATGAACTCGATGTTATTTTTTTTCAAATCATCGTCAATTTATTCTTCGTTGAAGCTTCTGTATCGACAAACAGAAGTTAACTTATTATTTCAGCAACAGTATTATGTCCTAAATATGCAACATACCAAACTGAAACTCAAACTTGTGAATGTGTTACTGACTATATATGGGAAGATAGAAGTCATACACAATGCGTGGAGGACGGTACGTATACACGTATCTAACGTTTTACATTGGAATTTATTAACATACATTACACAAATCAAAAGAGCGCGTCTTATTCAAAAACGAATAAGTTCGTAATTTTACACCGATGAGTTACTTTTGATCAAGATGTGAAAAGAGTAAGACGCTGGTTTACATAGAACATTTAAGGATATTACTTTCGCATCGAATTGTTCAAAAATTTCGTATTGTTAATTTTATTACAACTTTGGTGCTGTACAGGTTTAAGTTTGACATGAACCTTTAACTAGATTTCGTGGTAAATTATATTTTTTATATGTTGATGTATAAATGAAGCTTCCCCCTTTTTTAATCTCAATCAAAACAACAGCAGTTTCATAGAGGGACGTAACATATCATCTGTTAAAAAATCACTTTATATATTATTTAATGTCGGTATACCAGACACCAAAACCACGGATAAAAAACCCAGATGAGTGCGTGCTGTCAGTGGGCGCTAAACAACAAAGAGTTTGATGGTTCATTACTACGTCAATTGTTGTCTTTTCGTCCATAGAATATCAGATA